AGCTGCTTAGAAGCAGGGGGCAGAATTACAGCTACTGAAGTGAGAGGCTGAGCTCCAGGTCCCCTGATGCTTCTACACCACCCCCTAAACATTTCATGAAGCTTTTCTCACGTGTTTCTGTCCTCTGTCCCCATTTCGTCCTTTCTAGCTCCATATTTATAATCATTCCCTTCTTTATCTCCCCAGCTCCCAATTTCTTCATACTTGGCTACTTACGAGTGGCAAAATCTTCAGCAAATTAAATTCAAAACTTGCCTATTGCACACCTGCACCATGGCAACTGGGCAGCTGAATGTAGCTGCAGAGAAACAAAATGTGCTGATTGGTCTCCCCATAAAATCATGACCATGAATCTAACTAACTCAGCCCTTAGTGCTTGATGCGACTCAGCAAGGTTACTAGTCAATTCATTCTCCCGCTCTTTCACAAAACTTTCTCATCTTCTTTCCCTTAAAATATCTTCACTGTTCTTCAGACACACTGGCCTGATTCCTGTCTTAGCACGTCAAGCACAATCCTACCTGAAGGCCCTTTGTTTCTTCTTCTTCCTCCCTGGAACCCCCTACATCTAAATATTAGCTTCCTCACTTCATTCATGGTCCTGCTATAATGTCATTCCTAAGACCTCCCATCACCCCTGGTGTTCCAACTATTTTAATTCTTTCCTTAGCAGTTTTCTCCATATCATATCTAGTTTAGATATCTACATTTTTCATCCCCTTGCTAGAATGAAAGTCACCACAGCCTGGATTTTGTTTCCTTTTATTCTTTTTTTTTTTTTTTTTTTTTTTTTTTGTTGTGGTACCGGGGATCGAACTTGGGTCCTTGTGGTTGTGAGGCAGGCGGTGGAACCACTGAGCTAAATCCCCAGCCCTGTTTCTTTTTATTCTGTACATACAGTTTGATATACAGTGCTTTCAAGTATTCAGTACTTAGGTATTTAATGAATGAACGCTTGCTGGCTTTTGAGAAGGCATGTTTCCGTTTACCAAACCTTGAATATTTACCTAGCGATCCTTATGTACATTTTGTGTGTGACGGTGGCTAAGATGTGGTCCGCATCATTCAGTTGTTGGAGAAAACTGTTGGATGGAGAAAGTCTTGCTTTTATTTGGACTGACTTGGGAAAGCCAGTGTGCTAAGTATATTGTACCTAGAATCACAAGTCTCATAAGATGGAGTTCTGACAGGAAGCTTTGACGATTACTTTTCAGTTCACTCGATGGGACCCAGAGTGCAATTAACCTGCCCAAAGTTCACTAATATATATAGATCTTAAGGTAATTGTAAATTGAAGATGTTTTGTTTTTCAAGACTCTTGCCCAGGACTATTAGAGAGGGACAGAAGTTAGTTCAGAAGTTTTTTTTGTTTTGGTACCCAAGATTGAACTCAGGACCTTGTGCTTTCGAGGCAGGCCATGGCACCACTGAGTTAAATCCCTGGCCGGGGGACAGAAGTTACTATAACACTCTGGTAATTGCCTGACCTTCTTTTACCATGTACTACATACATGGGCCAGCGCATCACCTTGTGAGGAGCATTTCCTCATTCTCTCCAGTGAGGCTTGCTAAGGTAACTAAACAGGATTGCGTATTTACTTGTGATGCAGAATGTGATGGCTTAGTCTTAAGTCATTTAAGTACAATTAATATTCATATCATTTGTGTTCCTAAGAGAGCTGGTTGAGTAGAGTTCAGTAAATCATGGTATGTCATAGAAAGAAGGTGCTCAGCAACAAATATCTCAGTGACCTGACCAGGTAGACCAATGCAGAGTGAATTAGTAAGTTGACAACAATGCAAGCAATTCTTGCAGTTAGGTTTTAACCATATGGCCAGCTTCTTGGGATGTGCTTCTGAATCTGAGAGAAGTAGTTTGTATGTGTGTGAGTGTGTGTGTGTGTGAGTGTGTGTGTGGTCCTGGGGATCAAACTCAGGCCTTTGCACTTGCAAGGTAGGTGTGGTGTCCCTGAGCTAAATCCCCTGCCCCTGGACAGAAGTAGTTCTGAGAGTGTCTGGCTATGTTTTCAGATCAGCAGCTACCTAGGCCCAGTGTATTGCACTAGTAGTGATAAATCATATCTAATTCATGGAGGTTGTAGGACTAAGAAGAGAAAACCAAGTTGGCTATAAGAACTTTTGAATATAATTATTACATTTTACTTTTGAATATAATTGTCATGTTTTAAGTCTCACTTACGAGTGTAAAGGGAGCAGGAATGTTGCTGTACCAAAGTGAACATGAACCTTCACACAGTGGTCACGTAGTGGCTTTTCAGTAGAGTCTTGGAGAACTAGTACATGCTAGCTTAAAATCTTCCACAAATGACCAAGGGATACTTTTAAAGCCTTGAGTGACCAGAAGGGGATTTAAGCTTAGGATATGCTAAGGAACTGGGCAGTGGTCAGACTGCTCAGCTGCACATCAGCAAGATGTTTCTTTTTTCTTTTTGTATTTTATGGTATAGTTGCAATATTTCTTTTTTCATCTCTGATTTTCTTTTTTAAAAATTAATTTTATTGGTACATTTAAGGTATACAATATAATGACATTCATCATTGGAAGTTTCTGCGTTTACATAATCCACGTTGGCTCTTATTTTTTCCCCATCCCCCTTCCCTCCCTTCAATCCCTCCCTCCCTCCCTATCTGCAAAGACTTTGTTTCCATTATTTTTCATGAAGGGAATGGAATTAATATGAGCAAGATGTTTCTTAATGTTCACTTTGCATGCTCATTGGGCTCTAAAAGTCTCCTTGATTCTGGAGAGAAATGTAAGTAGGTCAGACTATGAGGAAGGAATGACGGAATGCAGTCATTATTCTCTAAACACTTGCGTCTTAACTGTGTTTCTGAAGGCAGAGGAAATGTCAGAAGGATCTTACTATTTCGGTATCACAATTAGAGACAACAATTTTGATAAACACAGATGAGCTGGGGTTTCCAATTTTCTGAATGCAGATTTGAAGTTGGGTTGCAGGTTCTCTCAAGGAATTTAAACTATTAAAAAAGGAACAATTAAGACTTTGTTTTTGTGGAGAGAAAATAGTTTGAATCCTTACTTAGCATGTACAGTAGAGCAGTGAACTATAATCCAGAAAAGTTAAATTTGCTGTTGTGTTTGAATTTTTTATGGCCCCATTTCCACCGTGATAAATACATGTTCTCTCATTTGGATGAATATGCACTTTTCTACATGGTTGGGTGCAATCCCTACTTTATTGAACACAGATTGAAAGACTTATATATACTTTATAAAGCAAAAATGTCATTAATTTGTGCTCTACCAGTGTGGAGTTTTTGGTCATTTGAACATGGATTGAGCACTAGTTTCCTTTTGTATTACCCATAGAGGCAGAGTTTGCTTATCAAGTTAATACCTTAGACAAGATTCAGAAAGAATATTTAAGTAGTAGGAAATACAACTTCCATATAATTTCTCACACAAACATCTGTGGTGCAAATTGCTTTCATGAACTCCGATTGGCCTCAGTTATTCAGAAATTTCTAGTTTTCAGTGATTACGTATAACTGATCCTCCCCACCAAAGCTTTTGTATAAATTGTATTTGTTTATTTTTGTTTTGGCACTGGAGGTTGAACCTAGGGCCTCACATATGCCAAGCACATGATCCACCACTAAGCTGGACTCCATACCTCACTGTTGGGTTTGATTACCGGAATCTCAGTGGACCCAGTAGCCAGAGACAATGGCAGAAAACTGCGTAGCTTGCTTTCTGATTGGCAAGAAGTTGTTTTCTTAAACTTTTGTCAACGACCGATAAAATGCATAGAGATTCCTTGGTGCAAAGTGGAAAAAAGGGGAAAGGGGAAATGAGAGGGGTAGGGGGAAAGAAAAGAAGGGAATGGAATTAATATGAGAATGAAGAAAATGGAAACAAAGTCTTTGTAGATAGGGAGGGAGGGGTTGAAGCGAGGGCAGGGGAATGAGGAAAAAATAAGAACCAAGATGGATTATGTAAAGATGCAAATTTCCAATGATGAATGTCATTATGTTGTATACTTTAAATGTACCAATAAAAGTAATTTTTAAAAGAACGCTAACATGGATTTGCAAGTAATTAGATTGATTTACTTTGAATAGCTCATGTATAAAGTCTTCTAGTCATAGAAGGAATGTTCATATGTTACTGCATTAGGTTCATATTATACTTTTCCTTTCTTATTCATTTCCTGTGGTTCCTTGTAAGGCCATTCTGTGACAGGAAGGTCACATTGTATATGTATACACTTGACACACTGTTGAGTATGCTTTTCAGCTATGTATTGAAAGTCTTCTAAGTGTTTAATGATTTTAATTGAAGTAGGGAATGGATTATGTAGATGCAAATTTCCAATGATGAATGTCATTATGTTGTATACTTTAAATGTACCAATAAAAGTAATTTTTAAAAGAACGCTAACATGGATTTGCAAGTAATTAGATTGATTTACTTTGAATAGCTCATGTATAAAGTCTTCTAGTCATAGAAGGAATGTTCATATGTTACTGCATTAGGTTCATATTATACTTTTCCTTTCTTATTCATTTCCTGTGGTTCCTTGTAAGGCCATTCTGTGACAGGAAGGTCACATTGTATATGTATACACTTGACACACTGTTGAGTATGCTTTTCAGCTATGTATTGAAAGTCTTCTAAGTGTTTAATGATTTTAATTGAAGTAGGGAAGTTAATCAGAATGGAACTAAATATTGTGATGGAAAGGAGATTTAATGTATAGGAATAGAGTTTGAGTTTTATCCAAGTATTTTTCTATGAGGTTAAAGAACTTGATTTTTTTCATAGTAATCTTGCCTTGATTATCAATACTCTGCCTTTATACAATTGTGGATGGTTCTAAAAGGCAGTGGTTTAGTCTATAAGGGGAATAGAAGCTAGATGTCCAGAATTTGAAGAAAGTTTTACTATAAAACCAGTAGTACCTGTAGGATCATTTTGTATAGAGAACTAACGAACAATTTCTTTGGTGTTGTCTTAGGTGAATTTTGGAAACAAATTGAAGCTACAAGATTGTCTGCATTTCCAGCATACGTGCATTTGTAAAGAAAGAATGAGTTCCATAATGGTACATGGCTATGCTCAGATATGGAACAAGAGGACAGGGATGTCCCAGCCACAAGAAGTATTCATTGAAACAGTGCAGGGAAGGAAGTACTTTAAACTGCTGATCTACTTGAAGACTGGAAGAGTCAGAACTTTAAAGCTAAATAATAACATTAAACATGTGGCCCTTCAACCCTATGGAGTAAACCTCAGTAGCATACATGTGACTTTCCAAAATGATGGCTTCTTGTTTGTTGAAAAATTATCCTCCACAGATGCTGAACACCTGAAGGCATTCCTGGACAGGGTCCATCAAAGCAGTTCTGAACCACACATGAGCTCTGATAAGGGAGGGGTTGCGTCTACCTCCACGGGAACACAGACCAGTGAAATTTTATTGCCCAAAGATTCTGAGACATCAGGTGAGGGATGCTCAGGGACAGACAAAGAACAGGAAACATCTGTTCATCAGAAGAAATCTTTGCTTACATCCAAATCATCAAGACTTACTGATGAAGATTCAGAAAATCGATACAGGAAGAAGAAAAAAATGTCACCCTCTGATCCAGAGGTGAATGAAAATGAGAAATCCCTGACAAAAAAAAATATAAGAGAGAAATCCAAGGCAAATCCCTTGAAGTATAAAAGCTACAGTTGGAAGAAGGAAATAAAGGCAGAAGAGTTTAAAAACAGTAAAAAGCTGGCATCTTTATTAGTGGCCAGCTATTTTAAGAAGACTTACGTAGATGGTACCACCCTCCAGTTTCTCACTGAGAACACACTTGAACAGTTTTTGCTGGCAATAAAGCGTAGTGAGCGTGGCACAGAGTCGGAGTTGTCCCGTAGATTTTACCACTCGGCAGTATGGCAAGGTCTCCCCAATTTGGGAAACACCTGTTACATTAATGCAGTTTTACAGTCTCTGTGTTCAATTCCATTTTTTGCTAACGATGTACTCAATCTGGGTTTCCCATGGGGAGGAATTTCCCATAATTTATTTTGCCTGTGTGTGGCTCTGCTGCTTACTATGAAAGATGTTTTTAACGTGAAAATCAAGGAGAAGTTACTTGTGGTGATTAAAAGAGCCATTTCAGTAATTTCAGAGATGTTCCCTGAAGAGAGTCAGAATGATGCACATGAATTTTTAAGCTTCTGCTTACAACAGATGAAGGAGACCTTACAGAAATCAAATGTAGTTTTGGATTCTGAAAATGAATTTCAGGAAGAAAATTCATCTCAGCAGGCTTTTGCTGGTGTTTCCGCTGCCAGAGGGGCTGATTGTCCTGTCGTGACTAATTTCGAGTGTGAGTTGCTGCGCTCTATTTTTTGTAAAGCTTGTGGACAGGCTATTTACAAAATAGAACCGAGTATTTATCTCTCCATCAACCTTCCGCAAGGAATGAGAGCACGTCCTTTGTCTATTCAGTCTACTTTTGATCATTTCTTCGCAGCAGAAGAGCTTGAGTATAGGTGTGAGAACTGTGCGTACAAGAAATCTGTTGTTGTACACAGTTTCAGCAGGCTTCCTAGGGTTCTTATTATTCACCTGAAACGCTATCGCTTTGATAAGTTTTTCCAGCTAAGTAAGGATGATCAGGCAGTTATTGTTTCTAAATACTTAGATTTGTCTTCTCATTGCAAGGAGGACACCGAGCCACCTGTTCCCCTTCGCAAGGATGCACACATTAGAGACTTACGATTACTAAAAGCTTTTCAAAAGCTAAGTTTGAAAATCATTTTATCATTATCTTCAGTGAAAAAGTCCAAATCTAAATATAAGTCTAAGTCCAAGTATCGCATAGCAAGACGGGTTAAATCAGTCAAGAAGCCTGAACCACAAAAATCCCAGCAGTTTCTTAAAGGGAAAAGAAGAGTATGCGTGCAGGAAAACCCAAGAAAAGTTCATAAAGCGGATACAAGAGAGTCAGAATCGGCATGCTTTAGAGATGGGGCATCAATTGGAACAAAGCAATTAGCCACCTCAGTGATGAATCTGGAAGACACTTCCCTTCCACTGTTCTACAGAAATGCAGATAAACCCTCTGGAAGACCAGACACATGTCTTACAGAAGCTCAATTGCCAGGAGTGCCTGAAGATCCAAAACTAAGGAAATCTAAGAAAAAAAATACATTTGCAGAATCCGATTTTGATAGCTTCAGTGAGACAACTGAAGAGTTTTCCAAAAATAAGAGAGCCAGAATTCCAGAAAGATCCCAGGAAGTGGCTGAACAAAGTGAGCACTGTGATAGACTGGAAGTTCATGAAGAAGCCCCTCAGCAGATACTTCATGAAGGCCTTCCAAAGCCAGATGCCCAGGAGCACAGCCTGAACCTTAGAGGATGTACAGAATTAAGTCCCCAGAAGGCTAACCCTGGAAACAAAGATATTTTAGGTAAGAAGACAGAGTCAGAAACCCAGGAACCAGGAAAAAAGGCTAATGAGAAAAATCCTTATACCTATAGGCTCATTGGTATTATCAGCCATATTGGAAATACCCCTGATTCAGGACACTATATCAGCGATGCCTACAACTTTAAGAAGCAGGTCTGGTCGACTTACAATGATTTACTGGTATCACGTATCTCAGAGTCCCTGGTGCAGAAATACAGGCTTTGTACAGGGTACATCTTCTTTTACATGCATAATGAGATCTTTGAAGAGCTGCTGCAAAAGTTCAAGACCACCCAGTCCCCATCCCAGTTCCCATCCCAGTCCCCATCCCCACCCCCACCCCCGTCTCAGTCTCCGGCCCGGTCTCAGTCTCTGTCTCTGTCTCCGTCTAAGAAGTCTCAGTCTAAGACCCCCCCCCCCCCCGTCTCAGTCTCCGGCCCGGTCTCAGTCTCTGTCTCTGTCTCCGTCTAAGAAGTCTCAGTCTAAGTCTCGCAGCCCCAAGGCAAGGAAGACTTAGGAGAAACAGACACCTCCATGCTCAGGTCTCTCTCATTGTCTCATTCACTACCACTTCGTCCATGGAAAGAGAACTCCAAACTCTCGTCGGAGGTTACACTAAGACCAAAGATCAAGCAAACTCTCTTGGGGAAAAATACCGCCTTTCTAACCCTGACATCCATTTCAATCCCCCAGTGCTGGCTGATGAACATTCTTCTCTCCCCCAAGGCAGATGTGCTTTTCTTGTTCCATGGCAGTGCTTTGAAAAGTGTGCCCTTCATCATCGGCATCAGAAGCGTGGGAGACCTAATTAGAAATGCAGCACTTTGAGTTCCACCACAGACCTACTGATCCAGAAACTTAAGGCAGAGAGCAGCAAGAGCAGTGATCTGATGGAGATTCTGGTGCTTCATAGAGTGTAATGACTACTATAATTTGTAGAGCTTCTTGATATATTTTGCTGTTACACATTTGAGTTTCTTGTTTTATAAAAGGTTTTGACTGCATTTTTTTGTTTCTCGTTTTCGGATATGCCTTTCCTTTCCTTTGTGATCTTACTAAAAAGAAACCCAGAGAAATCACACTCCTGCGGATCATACCCAGTGATTTGGTGGAAAAATAGTTACCGGGATCCTGGCCAAAACAACGTTGAAGGAGTCTATAACTTTTGAATCTTATTGTTATTTAAATGATACTGAAAACCGCAGTCAAGTTTTCATATTGCCTGGTGTACCTAACCCTCCCTTCTCTTTCTCAATATTCAGACGGACGTATCCACAGACTTGGAACTTAAAGGGGGGAAAGTTGATTTGCCCACTTTTCCTGTGTGTGCTAGCAAGCTGTTGGCCCTTGGTGACGAGAGCCCACTTCGCCATTTTGGTCTACTCAGAGGGATGCTTGCATTGCCTAAAAGGAACTTTGTTTACTTGGACTTACGTGTAAAACCTTGAACAGTCTTCTGCATTCAGTGTTACAAGACTAATTTCAGATTTTTTTTACACCTTTGTGCCTTATAGCATGTTAGCTTTGTTCTTTCAATAAGTAAACTGTGTGCTTAAAAGTGGACTTTTAGGATTTAAAAGTTTTACTTGTTACTGTTGATAACAGCATGACAAACTCTGTATGGAAATGACCTGTTTGTGAGGAAAGCCACGATTTTCATTGTGGTTCTATTCTGTAAGCACTCTATGTAATCCAGGGGTTTAATAATTCTGATACCAGTTCAGGGATTTAGCTCAGTGGTGCCACCACCTGAGTTGAAAGCACAAGGTTCAGTCCCCGGTACCCGCCCCCACAAAAAATCTGATACCAAGCATATGCTATTTCTGTAACACTTTTTCTTGCCTTTGAGGCAGTGAATCTGTAGTGCCTTACATTTTTGATGGTAAAAAATGACTTGTACTATGTCTTTCTTACATGACCCAGAGGGATTGGTTTTTAATCCCACCTTTGCCAACACAAGTTTCCCCCTGGATATGGGGTATAGTATTAGCACAGTTATATTAATCCAAGAATTTAGTGATGGTGTTCTTAATCCTAGGAATCTTTAAAGAAGTGAAGCAGAATTTAGCAACCCAGGGAAGTTAGATAATGCTCTCCAAAGTATAGTATTAGCACAGTTATATTAATCCAAGAATTTAGTGACAATGTTCTTAATCCTAGGAATCTTTAAATAGGTGAAGTAGAATTTAGTAATGTAGGGAAATTAGATAATGCTCTCCAAAGTTGAAAAAAACATGATGAAGCTTGAGGATTCTATTGTTCAGAATACAGTGTCTGTTAGAAGGAGGTCTGAATGGGACTTGAAGATTGGTGAGGGATATAGGCGGGAGTCTCCTAGTTCTCCTAGTTGACTTAGTTGTTACAGACACAACAATGAGATGCTACCACTTCTGAAGAACTACTATAGCAGCTCAAGAGTAACAATTTGGCTTCTGAATTCCAAGCTTTTGACCTCTTAAGCATAGTTAATTCTTTTTCTTTTATTTTTTATTTTTCTTTTATTTTTTATTTTTCTTTTTATTTTATTTTTTTGTACCGGGGATCAAACCTGGGACCTTGCGTTTGCAAGGCAGGCTCTGGAAGCACTGAGCTAAATCCCCGGCTCAGGATAGTTATTCTGAGCTCATTTACATAAGCCTTAGAATGGGAGTTTTAGTAAAAGCTTTTTCAAAACATATTAAAAGATAGAATTGTATGAAGGACTTTTTGTTTTGTTTTGTATGACATTTACATCCTAGACACGCTCTTACCAGGTAGCACTTCCAAATGCAGGGTGAATTGAAAAGTGAAGAAGACTATAGGGATAGTCATGATAAAGAGGGTCATGGGTGGAATCCATCATTTCCCTGTGAAAAGGAAGTCTGAGTAAACATGAATGGATGTATACTACCTATATGTATATTACATTGTTACTTTAAATAAAAGATAAAAAATTCTTCATTGAGTGCTGGGTATTTTGCTCAGCGGGACCACACCACACCTGTCTTGAAAGCGCAAGGTCCTGAGTTCGAATGTCATTACCAAAACAAAACAAAAGAATTCTTCATCGACTCTGGTTATGTATTAGGGATATAAATTGGTTCTCTGCAGATCCAATTTCAGGCAATCCATGCAGATAAAAAATGTCATAGTATATTTGCTTTCTGTTGCTTCTGTAACAAATTTAATAGTTTAAAACAACAGTTTTGTTATCTTACATTTTGGGAGATCAAGAGTCTTAAATTGGGTCTCGCCAGCCTAAAACCAAGGTGTTAACTGGGCTGCTTTCCTGCTGGATGCTCTGAGCACAAAATCTGTATATCTTTTTCACCTTCTAGAATCTGCCCACATGCCTTGGCTCTTGGCCTCATCCCTTCATCTTCAAGGTTAGAAATGTTGCCCTGAGTCCTTACATTGCCTTATCTGGTTCTCCATCTCCTTCCTTCCTCTTCCCCTTTTAATAAACAATGTGATTAGATTGGGCCCATACAGGTAGTCCAGGATATCACCCTGTTTTTAAGTTTGCAACTTTAATTCTCATTTGTCCTGTGATGTAACAGTTGCCAAGGATTGGGCTGTGGCATGCCCTGGCCAGTGGGGTTCGTTATTAGCAGGGCTCGAGGAGGGGACCACCCGGAATGGGAACAGGAACGACGCAGGAAGACAGGAACCAGGCAGAGCTCTTTTAGTGGTCAAAATTTTGACAATTTTTATTTCTCACACAGCAGCTTTTATGCAGGCAGGGATGAGCAGGGAGTTTCCTGGTTGCTAGGTTACCTAACCTAGGCTGGTCTAGCTAGATAAGGTAGGGCATGGCCAGAATGTTCCCGGGAGGGGTCAGAATGTCCCCAGGAGGGTGTAAAGTTCCTATCGGGCACACACACACACACAGGGTGGAGGGGCACACACGGAGGGTGGAGACGCACAGGGGTCTTGGTCCCCAACAGTGGCATTCTCCCACTGCAAATGCCTGATGGAAGTTCATGGAAAACTGCCACTACCACCACCAACAGAACAGAGTGGTTCAGGGCTCAGTCAGAATTTGTGTCAGTATATCCATTAAGAAGTAAAAGATTCTAAGGTTCTTAGTGGGTTGAAGAAAAACTATAACTGGTAATTGAAGAACTCAGACCTTGGTGCATACACAAAGGCAGTAGTTGCTTTGCCTATTTCTGTTATATGCATGCATTTATTTTTATATTTTCTGCTTTTTACTACTCTGGTTCCTTTTTTAAATTTTATTCACAAGTTTCTTGGAAGTTAACTTGTCTTTAGGTAACTGCATATTCAATAGGAACCAGACTGAATTCAAGGATTACTTAATAGGGACCATCCATGATGATTGGAAAGACATAATAATCTGAATCATCTTATTGGGGGAAGAGAACTTGACTAAGAAGAGTTGATGTATTTGGTTAAGGAGAAATGTAGAGTTGTTTTGCTGCATGGGAGTTGAGATATGTGTACAGAGGCAAACATGGAAGCTGACCAGCCAAGGCAGTAGCCTATGCCAGTTATCAATGCATTGCCCCTCCACTACAAATGCATGCTTCAACGTCCTCAGTGATGATGAACAAGATTTCTTCAAGCATTTCTCCTTCAGTAAACATGTTGAGCTTACCTAGCAGAGGACATCTTAGTCACGTTACAAATGGAAAGGACCTTCCTGTTTCCACTGTGCAGCAGGTTAGCAATGCAGACATGAAAATACCTGGTGATACACTGTCCCTGGCCATAAACTCAGAATGTTTCGTCCCTGATGCCCTCCTAGCACGATGCTGGCCTGTTGATCACTTTCTTGCTTTCTCACCATCGAATACTCATGGTCCCTGTCCTGCACCAACAGCACTGATTCCTGTATTCCCCTGCCTTTCCCAGGTTGTTAATTAGTGTCCTAATGTCCAGGTCTCCTGCCACACCAGCACTCCTTGTCCCTCTGCTTGTCCTCTTTCCTGTCCACTGGCTAGTACCCTGCCTGTGTCCCTCTGAGCGCCCACTCATCCATAGGCTCTCCTGTATCCTGACTGGGTGCCACTTGCCCTCCAGAGTGGCTTTCTGTTTTCCTAGTCACCACAGGCCATGTTGGCTCAGGTGAATTTGCAAACTTCTCTTCCATCAATAGGGTACAACTGCACCCTCCACAAGGTCTGAATGTTTGGGGCCCCTTTATAAATGTGAGTATGCTTCTTCAACCCTAGGATATAATGTGGGTTTTCCTTCCATCCTATAATCTTACCATAGTTTAATTTATCATATTAAGCTTCTGTTTAAATAATATGACCCGACCCAGATTGAGAAAGAGGCTAAGCATGTGAAATACTCTAACTGTAGCATTCCAGATTAAATCCAGACATTTAATTTTGTTTGTTTGGGCTTTATTAAGGTTGGATTTTGATGCAAAGCATTTCAAAGAATGCTGGATTCTGAATGGCAGTACCATACTTCAGTTGCTTGTGTAACTTCTGGCAAAGGTTAACTGAAATAACAAGAAA